AGCTATGGGCAGCTGCTGTCAGACTCTCTGTGTTGCTCTGGAAACACAGAGAGTCTATCTCTATGTCAGCATTGGCCTTACAAGGTTCAGGATTATTTAAGACAATAGATTTGGGGGGTGGGCCATTTTCAACCCACGAAATGCAGATTTTTATAAATTTGGTAAGAATTTATTAGAAAAGTCGAATGTAGAGATAAAAACTGGGCTCTGAGACTTATTTTTGGTTTGACACTTTCTTTATTCACGTTTCATGAACATTAAAACTGTATCTAGAGAGGCAGAAAATCTGCAGTAGTATTGAATACTGGGGGATGAAAAAGGGATAATGCATACAGTAAACAAAGATTGTGTTATGTGAATCAAATAATGTTGGAGAATTCCACAAGGGTAAGTCACATCACTGTTTATACAGTAGCTGCTGCATCCTGGTGGGCACCCTGTAATACAGTGGTTTTGTTTTAGCTTATAGGGATAGTTTTAACGCAACCATATCTCGTAGAATTTTCATGCTTCTCTTGCATTGCAGTCCCTCCGCTGCCACATGCTGAGATGGCTCTTCAGATTTTTAATAACACAACTGTACTACTTATAGTAATGTCACCACAACAACAAATCTGAAGAGTCCTCTATCAGTCCCCCCAGAAAGTTGCAATGTTGCAAATTCAGTGAGCAAATTCAGCGCTAATTTGACCAAATCTGGCCGATAAAGCAGTACCCCACTTTATCATGATTTTTCTAGCTGTGGTGTTAAATCTAAAATGTTTCCTTACATTATTTCTTAGATAGGTTGGGCGCGACCTCACTAGTTTCCTCCATTTCACTTTAATGAATAGAAGACCAATGATTTAATTTCCTAAGGACATGTTAAGGGTAGCGATTTTTCTTCAATTGTGAATTCGGACACCATTTGGGTATCAAGATTGAATATTAAATTTTTCCCATGAATTTCAAATAAAACGTGACAGCCCTAGTAGTCTTTGTTCTTGTGTATTAGGCTTTAGGTACACACTCTATAAATCCTCCCCTCTATGATGTTCCCTTTTAGAACATACAGGACCATTTAACAGCTCACACACTGACTGTGGTCCTCCTGTCTCTTTCAGGTTAAGAATAATGTAGCTAAACCTGCATCCTTAACCTCCCACTATCCCTTAAACTGAAGAGTAATGGTGCAACCATTTTTCCAGTTTCACCTCCACCTCTAAAATTTTCACTTTGACTCCAGAATAATGTATCTGCATCTGTTTTCCTTGCTCACTCTAACCTCTCGCTCTCACATGACTCCAGAATAATGTAGATGTATTTATTTTTACACTCTCTTCCTCGACCCCAGTCACTATCAGTCTGGCTTTAGAATAATGTAAGCACATCTGTTCTGCTCACCCTCCTAACCCCTCAATTTCCCCGCCACTTCAGGATAATGTAGGTGCATCTATTATCTCCACTCACACCAGCGCTGCTGTCTCCAACCCGTTTTTAGAATAATGTAGCTGCATTTACAACCCCAACCTCTCACGCTATCACTGCAGGGTCGGGAAATAAATAGAACAGCGCACATGTGAGCTGAAAGTGCATCTTCTCTGCTTTAAGCTTCAAGATCGTGCAGAGGTATTTATTATTTCAGCTCATCATTTATACTAGATCACCAGAAACTCTCAGGTTTCCATATTCTCTTCATTGGCTACTTTAACCTTCTTTCTTTTCTCCGGAGACACAAGCACAGACTAGGTGCAGGGAGGGAAGAAGAGAATGAAACAAAAAGCATTCGGTAGCAGATAACAGTGTTGTTGCAGCGTAACCCCCAGCTTTTATTTATCATATCTCCAAATGGCGGTGTAGCTGTTGTGCTGTGGTCAGGATACAGTGACCTTAGTTGATCAACTACCCCCCTCAGCAGCCTGATAAGAGGGCTAATATAACAGCGAGCGAGGGGGGAAGGCTGTACTGTAATTATTTTTGCGCTGTCAGAGGGGGAACAGACCGCGGCCCCCCTGCCGATTCAAATCTGAGGGGAAACTAAAAAGAGGAGGAGGAGGAGGAAGGAAGGGCCACAACAACAACAACGCCAGTGAGACAAATATCAGCCGGCTGCCGCGACACGCCTGAAATTGGACCAGTTTGTCATGCACAGGGCTGCCACACACACACACATATCTGAGAGGCCGGACAAGACTTAATTCAAACTTTACTGGTTACACACAAACATGAAACACTCACAAGTACATATGTGAAAAATTGGTCGCGACATGAACCATAACTTTAATACTCACTTGTACTCTGATTTACATAAAAACATACCATGAATGAATAATTAGATTTAAATGTTTTGCACCTAGGAGTGCCGAACCCACACAGACTTATTAGAGACTACATACAAAAGCAAGAGAAAAAAGAGAGCAAATGTAGAATGTGAAAAACAAGATGAGTTCAAATGAAGACAGTGACAATTTCCTGTATTGTCAATAATAATGCAACAAAACCTCATTATCACTGTTTTTGGTGTGTCTCCTTTAGGAGAAGTACTTACTGTCCTCCGAGCAAACGCCATAGTATTAACTTCGCTA